AACCTGCTGTTTACTGTGCGAATAAAAGTGTGTCTATCTCTCTAAGCATGGTCTTTATGTTCTTATGTATACCTGGAAAAGTATATGTTTATTAATCACATTTGAACCCAGCTGGCACTTTTTAAGATATAATTCCCTTAATATTCTGACAGGTTATGTGCTCCATTATGGTGTTTGCAGATGTTTCTGATAAGAGCATGGACTATTACCTGGTTAGTAATACCTATGAATGCCCAGCAAGTGGCACTCCCAACTTACACATGAGCATGAATTAAGCAGACACACTGGTCGATATGCTATTACAGGTTGGCAGCCTTATTTTGTCTTAGAAATGGGGATAGAATATTAATAATGTTTGGTAAAATGGAGAACTGTGAAAAGGCTGTAGTTGGAAAATCCCCTGTTGCCAAGGTACTAAATTCTGGATTTGCAGCCAGTCTGTTCCAGTTATTCAGGAAGACGGTTACAGCAAGACACAGGCAAGGGTAGATTTGGAGGCAGAAAACATTTGAAGTTAGATGTAATTTGAATTTACTATGATGATAAGGGTTTGATTGCTCAGGATTGAAAATGATGCTGAAATTGTGGAACAGCCTGGTTCAACCAGAAACAGTGGTTGGACTGGGAGTAGAAGGAGGAGTTGAGATTGGTTAACTTCCTTTGGTATTCACAAGGTTTAACTAGAGGAAATTGTGGTTCATTCCAATACTGAAGGTTAAGCAAGCAAACAACTGGGATAGTGGAGAGATAGAACTAGATGTTGCCATCTTACATTGGAAACTGATCCTACGTTTTCTGACGTTGTTAATGGATCTCATATGTAAATGAGGTGAATGAAAGGGGCAAATATGAATCCTTAGGGGATCCCAATAGGTAACATTACAAAGGTAGTTTTACCATTTCATTAGGCATATTAATATTTCAAGAAAAAATCTAAATGCCTAACACTTAGTCAACAGAACTACTACTCAAGATTTTACTTAAAAAAAATCCAGATTTATTAATCCAAAAGAATTAAACAAAATAAGTTTAACTCTATAGTTTTTCCCTATGATTTATTCCAGATCTAATTTCTTCTTTCCACCAAGATCCTGTTATGAAATTTTGAAGCTTTATTCACTTTTCCTGGGAACAAACCAAAGAGGTACAGCACACCCCTCCAGAATTTAATACCCATTAGAATTCCAGATATTCTTTCAAAGTAAGATTCTAAGTGGGTCATTCCATTAGCTTTTTGGCTCTGCAACCATCATCTCTACATTACTGACCTCATGACGGTGGACACCTCAGCTCCCTGGTCAGGTTGACAGTAGATATCCAACCGTCTTCTCACAGCTTTGCAAGCCAACGCTCGTGATTTTTGTTACTAGGCTCTTTGAGGACCACTCAACAGATTGCATCCTCCAGCTTGCAAATTACAGCAAATCTTTCAGCTACATTTCCATCATGAAATGTCTTCTCAGCAAACGTTCAAGGCTACTCTCTGATTCTGTAACCCAAATAAAGTTTAGAACTGTCTTTCCCCCAACTGTTAGACTTTAGCACATTTTAAGGACATAAAACAATAGACACTGGACTCCACCAAACATTTCAGAAGTGGGTTATTTGTTGTTTCTTTCACTACGAGCTCTTGGAAGATAAAAACGTTACTGTTTTAGTGCATTAAACTCAAAGCAGGTGATCCCATTTCCTACAGTTAAAACATTAATTCATAAAGCTAAAAGTCATATTCTCACACATGAACGATAAACACAATTTTCACAACATTGGGAAAAAAAATCCATAGCTCTGGCTATAATTGAGTAAGTAAGATGAGAATCAAATGAGGCAGTCCCATTGAGCTGGTGCATGGTGGTGGGTGGTGTTGTCGACTATGGCAGAGGCTACAGAGTAGGAGAGAAGAAGGCAGGATAGTACTCTACAGTCAGAGAGGAATGTAATTTGTGGCTTTAATTTTGAGGTGTAAACGGCTTAGTTTCAATGCCTACAGGAACCTGATTGCAGTGAACTTCCTGGAAGGATGAGAATGAATTTTGAAAGTGATAACATGATTAAAAAAAAAAATGCTTTGAAGTAGAAAGGGAGCTTGGAGGTGAGATCATATTTTGCAAGGAGCAGTTGAGGGTGGGAGGATGAGTGGGTTCAATGATGACAGTTTTTAAACTTATTTCCAGTTATCCCAAGATGATAGTTGGGCCAGCTAATAGTCAACCAAGCTGGTTTCAGACTGAAGTCACATTTTTACAATCTATTCATGGGATTTGGCATGGCTGGCTAGGCCAGCAGTTATTGGCCATCCATAATCACCCTTGAGAAAGTGATAGGGCGCTGCCTATCTTGAACCACTGCTATCCATGGTGAGGTAGGTATGCCCACAGTGCTGTTAGGAAGGCAAACTGTTAAGGACATCAGATTTAGTTCCCCAACAGGTATTAGTGAACTTTGTTAGGTTTTTATGGCTGACTGTCATAATCACTAACTCTGATTCAATTTCCAGATTTTAATATACTGAATTGAAATTTAAGACATGGTGGGCTTTGAACTCATTATCTAGCTTACAAGTTCAGATACTTCTACCTGGTAAATCACAGAAAATGTTGATACAACTTTTCCTTTCTCGGGTGGACCTATGGGTGGATCATAATTTCATGTGGTTCAGCCCTGTGATGGATTCTAGATCATCACTGGTCAAATGAATAATTCATCATTTCAGTCTGTCCAGAGGCTGAGGCTCTTTTCTCTCGAGAATAAGAAAGAAGTTTTCAAGATTAGATTAGATTAAGGTTTGCTAGTATACTTGTAGAGAAGGTGTTTTGACTGGACTGAGAACACATCTAAGTTATAAGATTATCAGCAATAAATATAATTGGAATTCATGGGAAATGTCTTTATACAGAGGGATTAGAACATGGGGTTCAATACTGCAGAAACTAATTGAGGCAACTAGCATAGATGTATTCGAGGAAACTTGTTTGATGCATAAACACTGACATGGATCAGTTTCACTGAAAAAAATTTTTCATGTTGTTGATATTATACAATTTATAATATCCATTACTGATGTCCTCAGTGAAGTGGGAGTCAGAGGGAGTTGACTGCAGAGTATCAAACCACTTGCCGTAACTACTTGGTAAATGGCCTGGTGGAATCTATCAAGTAATGAAAAGTCCTTGACAGCCAACTAATTCAGCAAATTGTGGTGTATGGAGATCACTGGTTTTAATTTTAAATATGCTAAAGCCCTTAAGTTAACATTTCAGTTTTCAGCAAATTTAGGATGCAAGCTAGTCTTTGGTTAAATCTCTTCCCTCATTTAGTGAATCCCACAGTGTGATTCCTCAAACTCACTAGCTGAGTCAGTGATATTTGGAAAAGTGAAAACAAGTGATCGGATTTTTAATCATGGTTTCACCTTCTGAATAACTAGGAAAAAACCTCTTTTTCAGACGTGAATGCTTGTTCCTAGTGTAGTGGGACTACTTCTTGTGCTGCTTCTGTTCCTCCTGTAACATGAATTGAGCAAGTATTTACAACCTTTACACCACGTTTTTTTCATTATATAAGCACTAAAGGCAATTTGTCTTAGGATTTGAGTGAAACTACAACTGGTGCATTTAAGTAAGTTCTCCTCATGATATTTGGTAAATGGAGTGGCGGTTGTGTCCTGAAGAACTGATCATTATTAAATCATGATGTGTAGGAAATGTGATAAATAGGAAGAAGTGTCTTGCCTTGGCTTTTCTAGTAAGATTGAATTTATTTCTACTGTAACGAAGTACTGGGAGGCAGGTATATACTAGCATTCATTAGATATGATGAGACTTGATACACGCACCATTTACTTGGTACTTTCAGATCATCTACAGTAAGAGGACCTCCTCCCTCTCAAGAACTTGTTCCACCACTACCTCTGCAGCTGTATCCAAAAACCTTAGGATATGCACAAGTGTGCAGGCCAATTTCCCATGGTGTTCTCAATGGTTGAGCATCTTTTGGGGTGATTCAGAAACTTGAATGGTTCCCTACGGGGTGACCTTTGCTGTCTCACTGCCCAGCTCTTGCCAGTTCCCCAAAGCGAAATCAAAACTAAATGTGGTTTCCACTTTTATTTAAAATTGTTCCTAAGTTCAATTTTGGCCTCCTTAAATTACATTTAGATTCAATATAAAGATCATCAAAACAAGAAAGCGACTGTCAAATTCCCTGCCAGCCTTATAAAATTTTAGTGCTGGGAACTATCCATAAAATCTAATTTCTGTGAAGAGCCAACATAATCAGTTGCTAGCTCTGTAGCACGGAGTACAAGTTTAAACTACCTTGGAGTTTCCTAAATTTCATTTGAATAATTGACAGCATTAATAACTCCCTGTCACTTAACATCGTTTAACAGCACATTCCAAAAAAACTTGCAATGTCATTTCCTATCCTCAGGCTCTTAGTTTCTTCTGTAAGCAGAGTAATTGGAAATAACTGGTGTGCAACTATGTGCCCTATGAATCCAAGCATTTAAAATACATTCACTTCTAGAAGGCACTGATTCATGTCAGCACATGATTTCCTTGAAATGTCAGTTGCTTCAGTGAGTCCATTTGCTGATTCTAAATCCAGATGGGACTGATGATTTGAAACAGAATACTTGCAGGCAGTTCCTGTAAATGTTTGGGAAGCGTTTGAAGTTAGGAACACATAGTAATACTAAAGCCATAAAGAAACATTAGTCTGGATACTTTTTTTCCAGATTATTGCTGTTAGGTCATGATTTCCTTTATAAGTACCAGCATTAATTCTGTTACAGAGTGCAGAACTTACCCGATATTTAGTGAAAATTGAAGCAGAGCATAATCTTCATTGATTCCTGCACAGAATCATGACTCAAATTTTAGCATGTAGCTTGACAGAGTACAATACTGAAACAAATAGTCAAACTTCAACAGTCAAAGGCCTATCAAAGTGAGTACTGAGACATAAGTCCCACAAATATAAACATTTTGTTACAGCAGTCTTTTATAATCATTTTTATTTGTAATTTTATATTAATGAAGCCAAAAACAAAACAAATTTGCTTGAAAACACCTGGAAACCAAGGTTGACTACAATGAACAAGGTTCAAGTGCAACATGTTCCAACAGAAGAGAAACAAACAGCAAAAAAATACCCTACACTTCTAAATAAAATGATAATTAAAATGAAATATTGCGTGCTGTTCCCTCAGTTTAAAATCAAAAAATGAGGCAACTGAGAGTGGACAATCTGTGTATAGATTCCCACTGTCCCTCTTTTTATTCCTAACAATTGTGAGGGTGAGCTACTTGGCTAAACTTAGAAGATGCATTATAACAGAAAACAAAAATAACCATAAATCAATAATGAATTGATGGAAAAACTTAGGTTGCTATTTGCATTCACATACAGCACGCCAACCTTAACTTTAAAACAGTATTTACAAAGAAATGTGTGTACACTCTGAAGTGGCTATCTTCGAAGGAACATCAGACTGACTTTCTCTTTTCTGCCCGTTCAGGAAAATCTTCCAGATAGCTGAGCAAGGGTAAAAAGCAACAAGAGCTCACCATTAATGTACCAGAGCAGAGGCCCTCCTGTGGTACTGAACCAGGCCAGACTGCAGTGTCCACCTTTGCATGCTATTTGCTCCCCAGCAGCACTGCCTTTGACTATTTATCTAGAATGAGGCTAATCTGCAAGGTTAACTGAATATAGAATTGCTTAATGAGGGAAAAATAATTTTCATCCCACAGGTTTGAATGCAAGCCAAAATATTGTTTTAAGCTGCAGGTTAAATTCTTTTTTTAAAAGAATAACTATGGAGCTTGCACACAGAATGTGCTAAGAAACATTATTCCTGTCGTGCGTAACTGGTCCAAGCTGATAATATTGAGAGGTACTTGATTAGGTGTCAGAGCAACATGATAGCTCCAGCATTCCAAGATTTATAACCATACAAATTCCAACCTCTATCTTCCTGGGTCAAAACCAAGGCTTACCCATTTCATTCCTACTCAGTAGGGGAGAAGCAGTAAACAAAGCATGTTTGCCAGCATGCCACTTCAAAGTTTATCATCTTTTAATAACATAGTATATATTAAAAATGGCAGTACCACCATTCTAGAAAACATCTTCCCATGTCAAACGTGGTTCTTTCCTAAAAGTAAACACTGCATTTAGAGTGTGAAATGAAATCCACACTTGATCCTGCACATTTCAGTTAAGTCCCACAATCTTCATGATGAAATGTCTTTCCTCTGCATGTGGCTCATCTTTCTTTGACATGGTTCTGTGCTGCGGCTGCGTTGCTGTAGAGGATTTCAGTCAGGTCATCCATGACCAGCGTTTCCTTGGGATCTACCAAATTGAATTCTCTTATAAATAACATGAAATGCATATACAATGCATTTAAATGTCCGTGCAGTTCCAATGCAACAGTCTCCTTGAAATGAGCCCAGTAGATGTGAGTCAGTACATGGAATAGATACCTGCAGATCTTTTTAACTAAAGACTCAAAAGTATTTGGAAATTCTTTGCCTGCAATGAGACAGAGAAACAGATTAGAAGCCAAAGATAATTAGCCATTGAATGTATAGTTCCTCAAGTGTTACACAATTCAATACGATCATGGCTGATCTTCCTTCTCAACTCCACTTCTAGCCGATGGCCCAGGGTGATGAAAAGGCTGTCAATCTTAGCCTTGAATGGAGTATCCACAGCTATATGGCTTATACAAGTCTAAAGATTCACAATCCTCTGAATAATGTAATGGCCTCATCTCAGGCTTAAATGACCAAATCCTTACTATAAGTTTATACCCACCATATTCTAGATTCCCCAGCCATAAAATCTAAAATGCAGGAGAAGTAGCCATTTGTCTACATCATCTACTATACCATTCAATTAGATCATGGCTAATCTGGAGGATAATCCTCAGATAGGCACCACATTATAAAGGCCCAGATTTTTACAACTGTGCCAACTTCAGAGACCTTTCAAAAAGGCAACTATATGAAAGGTTCCACCTCCATTTCTGGTATGTCCCATGTTTTGTCAGCAGAACATGGGTTCAGGGTGTGAATCCCTCAGGTGCGAATCCCTCAGGTGCAAAAATCTGAACTCAGCAGGGTTGAAATTAATGCGGAGCTCAAACTAACTAGTTTGAATAGTAACTCATCTCTACTATTGCAATGCCTTTAATCTGCAGCATAAGAGTCACAGATTTATGGTGGAGACATAAATACACCTGAAGGATGGTAAAGGTAAAGGTAAGAAAACTTTCACAAACTGAAGCTATTTCAATTTTCAGCCTTTTAAATATAATGTGCTAAATTGTTGCTAAATTGTTGCTAAAGTGGAAAAAGGAGGTGCATTATGGTGCAGTTTAGCAAAGAAGGATTCTATCCCTGTTCTTTTAGTAGATTTCACTATTGACATTTCTCAACAGCTGTTATTACAGTTAGCCCACGAATACTTGGCTGAGTTAGCAACAAAACTACTCATTAGAGAAGGAGCCAAGTTCATATTTTGACATAAGGTGTTAAGAGGCCCATTACAAGATTAGCTGTTTTTGATGGAAGGTGAGGTAGTTGAATCTGAAACTAGGATCCTAAATCTAAATGAAGAAAACCGAGGGTACGAAAAGGCAAACCTTACTAAACGGGTTGATGGTGGATATTCATATTTTAAAAACATGTGTGTGAATTACAACAATTATTCCTGTATGAAATTAGGGACAGTATTAGATCCAAAGGGGAGACATAAAATTGCCAGAGAAAGCATGAAGCGTAAGATTTGGGAGCATTTTAGAATTCAGCAAAAGAGGACAAAAAGTTTGATCAAGAAAAGGAGAATAGAGTACGAGAATAAAATCGCAGAGAACAGAAATTGACCATAAAAGGTTCTATAAATATGAGGAGAAAAATACTAGCGAGATCAAATTTTGGTTCCTTACAGTCAGAAGCTGAGAAGAATTCACAAAACCGTGCGTAAATAATAGTAATTTTTTTTTATATACAGAATCCCCACAGTTTGAAAATAGGTCATTTGGCCCAACAAGTCCACACCTACCGTCCGAAGAGCATCCCATCCAGACCCATTCCCCCACTCTGTCCGTGTAACCCTGCATTACCCATGGCTAATGCACCAAACCTACACATCCCTGAACACACTGGGTAATTTAGCATGGCCAATCCACCTACTTTGCACGTCTTTGGATGGATAGAAAAACTGTACCACTCGGTGGAAACCCACAGAGACAGTCGGAGAACATACAAACTCCAGACAGTCGCCAAGGCTGGAATTGAATCCGGGTCCCTGGTGCTGTGAGGCCGCAGTGCTAACCACTGAGCCATGACTTCATATAGCATGGAAACACATCCTTCAGCCCAACTCGTTCATGCCGACCCAGTTTCCTAAACTGAACAAGTCCATTTGCCTGCATTTGGCCCATAACCCTCTAAACCTTTCCTATCCTTGTCTTTTAAATGTAATTGTACCTGCCTCTAGCAACTCATTCCATATATGCACCATCCTCTATGTGAAAAAGTTGCCCCTCAGCTCCCTTTTAAACCCATGCCCATTAGTTTTGGACTTCCCCACCCTGGGGAAAAGGCATTGGCTACTCACCTTATCTGTGCCCTTCACGATTTTATAAACCTCTAAATTCACCCCTTAGCCTCCTCTGCTCCAAGGGAAAAGAGTTCCAGCCTCTCCTTATAAATCAAGCCCTCCAGTCTCAGTAACATCTTGCCTACAGCAGGGTGAGGGGTGATCAGAATTGTACTCCAAATGTGGCCTTACCAATGTCTCATACAGCTGTAACATTATGTCCCAATGCCTGTACTCAATGCTTTGACCGATGATGAAGGCAAGTGTGCCAAACACCTTCTTCATCACGCTGTCCTACCCGTGATGGCACTTTCAAAGAACTATATATCTGTACCCCTAGAAATGCATGTAGACCCAGTCTCTCAGAAACCCCTCCAACAATTCACTCATCATTGACGTCAGGGTCAAAGGTCTGAGTTCCCTGCTTTTTCCTTGTAGCCTTTCTTAAATAATGGCACAACGTTCGTGAACTTGCAGTCTTCAGGCAACTCACCCATAGCTTTTGATGATACAAGTATCTCTGTACAGGCCCCACAATTTCTTCCCTCGCTTCCGACAATGTACTAGGATATATGATCAGGTCCAGATTTGTCTACCATAATGCATTTTAAGTCCTTCAGCACCTTCTGTAAAGTGGGCTCTTTTCAAGACATCAATTTTTATTTCCCAAAGTTCCCTACCTCCCATGTCTTTCTCCACAGTAAATACGGAATATTCATTCAGAATCTCACCTATCTCCTGCAGTTCTACACCTAGATAACCTTGTTGATCTTTAAAGAGCCCTATTCTCTCCCTAGTTACTCTTTTGCTCTTAACATATTTACAGAACTTCTTCGGATTCTCCTTATCTGCCAAAGCTATCTCATGTCCCCTTTTTGATTTCCCTCGTAAGTGTACTCCTACACCCCTGCACTCAAGGGATTCACTCAATCCCAGCTATAACTGACATTTGCCTCATTCTTCTCGACCACAGCCTCAATAACTCTATCCCTACTCCTGCCAGCCTTGCCCTTCACACTAATAGGAACATACTCTCCATGACTTGTTATTTCACTTTTGAAAGCCTCCCACTTGCCAGACATCGCATTAACTGCCAACTGCTTCCCCAAATCAAATTCTGGGAGTTCCAGTCTAATACCATCAAAATTGGCCTTGCACCAGTTTAGAACTTTAACTTGTGGATTAGGCCTATCCTTTTCCACAACTATTTTAAAACAAAGAATTATGGTCACTGGTCCCAAAGTGCACCCTCAGTAACACCTCAGTCACTTGCCCTGTGTTATTTCCCAAGAGGAGGTCGAGTTTTGCCCCTTCCCTAGTAGGGCAATCTACATATTGATTGGGAAAGTTGCGTTGATACAATTAAATTCCTCCCCATCCAAGCCCATAACACTATGGCAGTACCAGTCTTTGTTTAGAAAATTAAAATCCCCCACTATTACAACCCTAATCTTACAGCTGTGATCTCTTCAATATCCCACCTGACTACAGAGGGAGGCCTATAGTGCAATCCCAAAGTAATCACCCTCTTCTTATTTATCAAATCCACCTATACAGCTTCACTGGATGATCCCGCATGAATATTGTTTTAAAGTACAGCAGTGATGCTACTCCCCTCCTCGCTCGCCTACCTTTCTATTGTTCCTACAGTATCTGTACCCTGGAACACTGATTTGCCAATCCTGTCCCTACCTCAGCCATGTTTCTGCAATAGTGATGATATCCCAGTCCCATGTACCTATCCATACCCTGAGTTCATTTGCCTTACCTGCCAGGCCTCTTTCATTGAAATAAATGCAGTTTAATTCATCAGTCTTCCCTCGTTGTCCGTTGTGCTCTTGCTTGCCTTGTCTATTTAACTTATCAATTTAAATCTCTTAGAAATAACAGGGAACTAAGGGTCTAATGACAGGACAGAATTGAAGGATATCAATATTCGAAAGATGATGATGCTGGGGAAATTAAATGGGGTCAAAGGCTGACAAATTTCCACAGCCTGATAATGTACATCCTAGAGTACTAAAAAAAGTAGCCTTTTTAAAATTTCTCATCCTGATCTTCAAATCCAACCATAGCCTCAACTTTCCCAATCTCCAATCTCCTCCAACCATACAACCTTCTCAGATATATGCACTTGAACTCTGGCCTTCAGTTCTAAATAGCTGCATCTTCAGGTGCCTAGGAAACCACTTCTCCAATGCCTTCCCTATGCCCGTCTGTCTCTCCACTTCACTTTAAGACATTCCTTTGCTCGCTTCTTTGACAAAGCTTTTGGTCATCTAACCTAATTATCCCCTTATGTGGACCATATTTTGTTTTGTAATGTTGCTGTGAAATGTCTTGCAATGATTTATTATGTTAAAGGTGTTTGCAATAAACCAACATTTACAAACAATCTATCAAACATATGTAGCCTACTACCTTTGAAGAATACTGACTATTTAGTACACACGAAATAAATATACACTTGACCAAAATTTAACTTAAAACTTGTGGTTTGCAGATAAATGTATTTCACATGTATTGAATCAGCCACTGGAGGGAGCTACAAACCAGTGTACAAAAATATAGCTCGCTGTTCCTTATTTGTAACAGCAGTACAGATTTTCAGCATTTGTCAAAGGTTTTGTGTAGCACTCTAACCTCCCTTTGTAAATTATGGCACAGTTTCAAAATTTAAAAAAAAAACCTCCTGAGAAGTTGCCAAAACTTTCCTTGATTTCAGATAGGAATTTCATGATTTTCAATTGTAATCTGCTGAATAAATCCAAAGAAACACAAGTTTAACAAGTTTCAGCTGGTCTCTACCACCCACAACACTTTGAAGATTATTTTCCTGAGTAATGTTATTTGTGAAAGCAAAATAGAATCGTGCAAATACTTCAAAAATGTCAAGGTACTTTATGAAACAATACAAGTCTGAAGCC